AAGTTATTGCGAGGGCAACTAGACTAAATATTACTGTTGACGCATCTAGGTAGTTTATTGTGACGCACAAAGCAACAATATGACAATCATTACCATCAATACGATAGGTTGAGGTGAAATTTTTATGGCATTCGAATTTTTATTGCCTTTGACACACCCACCTATCCCCCTATCCAAGCGTTGGTAAATGGTCATTGTGGATGCCACTATTTTCTCAATGGCCGCCATCTTGGTTGACAACACGTGAAGTCACGTGAAGTGTCAACCAAGATGGCAGCTAAAAAAGTAGTGCAAAACACGTGTTATTAAAAACCCTAACCCTATATCTATCCCGAGCAAAATCTTTTTAAAAATCAATGAAATTTCAATAATTTTTTACTCACTCCTTATGCATCAGAATCTTGTATTTGGGGAGGATACACAATTTTTATAGCATTTAAAAATTCTCTCATTTAAACTCTATTACCACATAAGTGTTGCCACATATATTCAAATAAATATGAGTTGAACTGCTCCTCCCCAGGACAGGTTCTTGCGGGCAGAGATCATTTAATTGCACTCCAGGTGCCCTCTATGGTGTTGGTGTGTGCGCCCGTTTCAGAGTGTTTGAACTCAATTGTATGGTTCACCCTCAGGTGGTGAAACCCTACAGTTGTAAGACCTCCAACAATCAGAAATTATTGTGGTTCCTGGCTGCACTAATTCTTTAATTATTGCCAGGAGGACGTCTTTACAGCGGTTCTCAACAACCCTGAAAAAGATTTTGTTTGATCCTCTTCCAATCCCACCAACACCTATTTTCCTTCCGCTTGCCGAATTTGGATTCATCCATCTCCACAATTTTACCCACTCCTCCTAAGCTCTCACTCATCACAACACACGCTTCCACACAGACCTCGCCACAAAAAGCTGACCCAGTCTTTTACGGTACCCCGACAAATGCTTACTTCTTTCGCAATATGTCCCAAAGGCATTTTTCTAAACCAAAAATGTGTCAATAACATAATGTCACACGTCAATCTACTGTCACTAAAACATGACCCCTTCCTTAAACTATGCACAATATTGCCATGACTTTTGTCACCACATTGCCATGCAAACTCATCTGAAACATTTGCCCATGCACACAAGTTCATATCCTTCTTACAATGGGGACATTCGTATCTATCTGCAATGAGACCGGTACTCATGAGCCAATCTATCACACTCCTTTTGCCCTGACTTTCCAGACGATTCCAAAAACGGGCGTTAAATTCAGGCTCCATCTGCATAAATTTACCCAATAACTATCTAACTAAAACTGCTGACGATGCAAAAAAACAACAACCAATTTTGAAATTACCGGGCACCCGGCCAAGCAATCAAGAATAGCAACAGACGTAATATTTAATCACTCCTTTCTATATCCGCATCATTATAAAGTACCCAACAAAAAAAATAATTTCTCACCATTTTGTCAAAATAGAGCATAAAATAAAATTTATGTCTATATTTAAAAATTATATTTCTTTTTTTCATTTATTATGAAAATAAAAACCCAAAAGAAACAAATACAATATAATATTAAGCATTCCTCGGGAGAATTAATACTAATATATAAAAATATTAGTTATCTAAAAATTAACAAAGGGAAGTGACCCCCACATGTAAACACCAAAAAAGGACGTCATGGCATCCCAAAATACCATTAGCCCCAAGCGTCTCATATGCAAAATCTCCTTAATCAACAACCCCCACCTCCCCTCTCAGTGCGTACATAACATAATATAAAATATGATTGTCTAAACTTTAAAAATATATTACAACCAATCGTTTTTTTTGTTCCATTCACTGCCAGATCTTTATTAGAAAGTGCTAAAACTTCAACAACCAAAAATGTATTTTATTTTATCGGAAAAAATTACCATAATCATAATCATGCTGATGCCTATCAATGCAAACTCTTCATAATATTTTTTCTCAGAGTCTCTGAAAATCATAGAATTGGCGGGTCTCGGCGTACAACCATCCTCCTCATCCTCATGTCCCTTAGTCCTTGGACCGTTGGGGCGTCACAGATGACATGTGAACCATCCTCCTCCATTCCTCTCCGTCTTCAGCACTACCCACTGCATCGCCCAGTGTTA